GTTCAGGAAAAGCCGAGCTGCCATCCGATCTCTTTAAGGCACCTTTTGGGTTAGGCATCCAGAATTTGTGAGGCGTTACCTTCTAAAATGTTGATCTGTGTACGTTACTATAGGGGAGGCAGAATGCAACGGTTTCGTTCAGTTGTGACTTGACTTGCGGTGCCTGGAAATGCAATTTGGACTTCACACGCAGATCGGGGACCGTGTGCAAAGTTATAAAAAAAAGGGCTAAGCCCAGAGACTTGGAGGATTGTGTCTATTAGCGTAATAGGAATACAGGGCCATGGGCACTCAGAAGATACAGAACTGGCATAGCTACCATTGTTGAAATGTCTTATTCCTCGCTCTGTAAACCTGGATTGACCTGCAGCCATTGTAAAATGTTGAACCAACTAGCTAACATACAAAAGAAGAAAAATTCAGTGGCTCTTGTCGATCACAGCGGGGGAAATGTCTGGATGGAAAAGCCGGTTCAGGTAGTGGGGGAGTCATGGGGGGGGGGGGCGGATGTGTATGGCTGAGGAGAGAGAACAGTTTGGCCTAGTTTAGGATAGGGTGACCAGATGTCCCGATTGAAACAGTGGTTGGGGACAGGGACTACCAGCCAGAAGACCTGCCTTCTATTCTCAACTGTGCCACAAAACCTGCTGCCCTTCCCCGTGCCTCCGTTTCCCCGGGTATAAAACGGGCATATCGAGAGGCACCTACCTCACAGGAATGGGTGTGAGGAATGGGCTTTACATTGGCAAATGCTGTGAGCCCTTGCAGTGGGGCAAAGGGGTATAATGAAACCAGTCTTCACGACCCCCATCCCCACAGGATGGGTGAGGGATCGTGGCCTCCTGGTTGAAAATCCATGCCACCCTGACCTCATCACCCTATATCCCTGCCCCAGAGGTCCTGCAGCAAGACAAACTGACAGCTCCAGGGTCCTTTTACAGAAAGTTCTTTGCTTCAGCCTCTCCCGCTCCTGCGAATGTTTGGGCGGTGGCAGAGAGGGAGCGTGGCAGGCCGTGCCCACGGTGCAGGGGGAGCTGCGCCTTCTGAACTGGCGTCGGGCACGGGCATCCTGCGGGGGAACCCGGCTGGCCAAGCAGCTACTGAAAGGGGACCGTGGAAGGCAGAGGGAAGGGTGCCCCGAGGGGAGCGGGCTAGAGAAAAGCAGCAGGGTGCAACTGCCCAGACTCCCGGCTCCTGCCTCGGGGTGTTTGTCTGCCAGGAAAAAGGGGACCAGACGTGCGCTGAAAGCCAAGAGCAGGGGGATGTAGCTGGAGCCTCTGGATTAGGGAGGATGAATGAAAGAGAGCAACGCCCGCTGCCTTGCTGGAGGAGACTCGGTATTGTGCAGTGCGTTGACATACAAACCCTGCTCCTTGGAGGATACCCACCCACTGGTCCCAGATACTCCAAAACCCCTTCCCTGCTGGTCGCACCAGATTGCGCTTCTGTTAGCTCCCGGCCTGCTCACTGCTCAGACCTGGCCCCGGCCCAGTGGAATACTAATTGGGAGCCTGGCCTTTCCTCATCGGGCCTGGGCGTGTGGGAGGGCAGGGGAACTGGGGGGGGCGGGGCGGGCGAGATGGCCTAGCTGGAAGCAGATCCACTAATTCAACAGTAAACTCAGGCTCTCCTTCCACCGCCTCTGCCTAGTAAGTGATTCCTTCTAGTGCATGATGTTGTGTCCAGCAGGAACTGAAGATTCATAAGGGTTGTGGGGGGGGAGGAATTGTCAGCGGAGAGGCATCACTTTCCTCCATCCACCCACCCCTTCCCTAAATTTAAACAGGAAAAGCTTTTAAAAACACACCTGCCTGTACGCTTGCAATACCGTTCTTCCCTTTGCCACGGTGCATGCGGGGAGCGGGAAGGGGTTAGAGCAGGGGACTGGATTCAGGATGCCTGGGTTCTACTCCTGCCTTGAGGGGCAACTGATTTCACCTCCCTGAGCTTGCGTCTCTAGCTGTAAAATGAGCTTGCGTAATTCCCTGAAGTGGTCTGGAGGTTTGTTAGCAAAGGGCTTTGAGATCCTTGCATTGCTCGTATCTACCATGTCACAGACCAAGGCCGCCTTTAGAAAACAAAAGGATTGTAATCAAGATGAAAACACCAGACAGCGTCGCTCCTTACACGGAGGACTGGCGAGGCTGGCTCTGTTAGCCTTAAGCTTCGGGCATGAAATATGTCCGTGGATCAAAGCTCGGCTGTCCCAGTTCAACCTTCTGTGGAAGTCAAATTTAATGTCATGCCGTTTCCCCTGTGCGTGCGTGTGCGTTTCGAGTCTATTGGCTCTGCAGGGCCTGTTCATAAGAAGCTAGGCTTACTCTGATGCTCTTGACCAAAATTTCACACTCTCCACCCCTCCCCCTGCCATTATGTTGGTTGCTGTGTGCCGGTTGGTTGCCACCTTCAAGCATAGAGGTGCCCATTGGGTGAGGCAGGGAGGGATCCTTTGGGGTATAAAATGTTGTTCATCAGTTTCCATATGAGGAGAGATTAAAAAGACTGGGACTGTTCAGCCTGGAAAAGAGATGACGAAGGGGGCATCCTATGATAGAGGTCTATAAAATCACGAGTGACCTGGAGAAAGTGAAAGTAGGTGTTACTTACCCCTTCACATAACACAAGAGCCAGGGATCACCCAAAGACCTTAATAGGTAGCAGGTTTAAAACAAACAAAAGGAAGTATTTCTTCACACAATGCACAGTCAACCTGTGGAACTCCTTGCGAGGGGATGTTGTGATGGCCAAAAGTAGAACTGGATTCAAAAAAGGGCTGGATACGTTCATGGAGGGTAGGTCCGTCGATAGCTATTAGCCAAGATAGTCAGGGCCACAACCACATGCTCTGGGTGTCCCTAAACTTCTGACTGCCAGGAGTTGGGACTAGACCAGTGGTATTCAAACTTTTTCTCTGGGGACCCAGTTGAAAAAAATTGTTGATTCCCGTGACCCAACGGAGCTGGGGATGAGGGTTTTGGGGTGCAGGAAGGGGTTCTGGGTTGGGGGGGCTCAGGACTGGAGCAGGGGATTGGGGTGCCGGATTGGGGCGCGGGCGAGTGCGGAGCCGGTGCTTGGGATGGGGGCAGCACATGGAGCCCTGTGGCCTCCCTGCTTAGGAGCCAGACCTGCTGCTGGCCACTTCCGGGGCACAGCGCAGTGTCAGAATAGGTAGGGACTAGCCTGCCTTAGCCGGGCAGCACTACCGACGGGACTTTTAATGGCCCGGTCGGCGGTGCTGACCAGAGCTGCTGCGACCCAGTGCCTTCCATTCCGTGACCCAGTACTGAGGCGCGACCCGCCGTTTGAAAACCTCTGGACTAGACGACAGGGGATGGATCACTCAATAATTCCACTGTTCTGTTCATTCCCTCTGAAGCGTCTGGCACCAGCCACTATCAGAGGACAGGATACCGGGCTAGACAGAGCATTGGTCTGACCCAGTGTGGCCATTCTTATGTTTTTCATATTCATTTAAAAGTTGAAGGAAAGAAAATAACTTAATGGAGAATTGATGTCTAAGGCCCTGATCCCACAACTGGATCCTTTTGGGTGGACCCCTTTAGGCCAGCAGATGGACCAATGTTGCAAGACCTGTACCTAAAAGTGCAATCACCTTGTCAAGGATCTGTGGGATCCCTGTCTTATTTGAATCCTCTCCCTAAAATTTGTTAATATCAATTCCTCCCTCCTACTCTGTACATGCTCACAACACACCAGGAAGTGTTACCAGCTCTTACAATCTTACTGCAAGAGTCTTAAGCGATGGTCTAAAACCCGGAGTCCCATGGAGTGAATTTCAGCTGTCTAGGATAGATAGGTGCTGGAACGAGGGTTTCCGGGAGTGCTGCCGGATCCCCTAGCTTGAAGTAGTAATAACAATCCAAATAGATGGTTTCAACCTTCAGCACCCAGCCCCACTATAGAAATTGTTCCCACACCACTGGTTTCTAGTTCTTGTGGTTATGGAGAAAAGCCTGAAAGCATGACCTATGGGCTCAGAAACCAGAAGGCAAAAGAAAAAGAATACAATTGATTTCTCTCTCTCTCTCTCTCTCTCTTGAATTTTAAGCCAGTCTCGTGATTTTTGGAGGGCCTGACTGAGAGCTTGGGGTTGGTAATATTGTATAACCTCACACACAACTAAGCAGCCTGACCCACAATACACTTGCTTTAACCTTTCTACTCAACACACCTCCTGCTGGCTCATCGCTCACTCAGAGATAAAACCCATGGGCACACAACTCATTTGTGTTATGACATACACACGCCGCACATCACGTCTTGCCCTCAAAATGCAGCCACCACCCATGCAGCTCCGAAAATCCCCTCCACGTGGATTCTCATGGTCATTCTCTCATCTTTGTCTGTCATTCATACAGCCCAAACGCTTGCCCCCAGTGTCAATGATTAGCATACGCACAATGCACTTACACAACCCAAATCAGTCACTTGACACGTTAGCTTCCACACCACACAGGCCAGATTCCTTCCGCACACAACTCCCTTCTGCAGCACTTCTGCTGTTCAGCCAACCAATTACTGTTGCACATGCAATCGCGCCCGCGTGCTCTTGTGCACACAGTCGAGCCTGCACACTCTTGCACATGGAACCTCGCCTGTGCGCTCTTGCACTTTTTCAATGTCTCCCGCACACTCATTCTCTCATCTTTTCACACGCACCCTCACTCTCTTTGCACGTTACGCTTACACACACACACACACACACACACCCATCTCTTTCTCTCCCTATCTGGGCGCTCCCTCCTGCCCTTTAAGGGTTAACCTTCCTCTCCGCTACATCGCGTTCCACAGATTGACACATCCTACTGGCGGCGGGTCCCGGCCGCCCAATCGGCGGCAGCCAGGCCGTGCCCCACGTGGGGGCGGGCCGCTCCCGCCGCGCTCCCATTGGCCAGCCGGCTCGGCGATTGCCCGCACGAGCCAGGCCCCACGTGGAGCTGGCGCTAGTTCATTGATCGCGCTCCCCCCGCACAGCTGCTGCTGCCGCCGCGGCGGGGCCGAGGCCGGCCGGGAGCGAGCGCGCGGGCAGCCCCCGACTCCGGCCGCCCCCTCCGCGCTGGGTGCAGCCGCCCGGTGAGTCCCCCGGGGGCGGGAGCTGGGCTGCGGGCGGGGGGGGCCGCTCCCTGCCCGCCGGGCTCTACCTGCTGCGGAGGGGCAGGGCCCATTGTTTGCATGGAGGTGGGGGGGAGCTGGTGAGTGGGGGCACTTGCTGGGGGGGGCAGGTTCTCAGGGGGGCAGGAGACAGAGTTGGGGGCACTTGGGGGCGGGGGCAGCTGGGGGGGCGAGGGAGGAGCCACTCTTTGGAGGTGCAAGGCAGGGGGTGCTGGCTGGCTCGCCAGTGAGCTTTCTGGGGGGCAGGGCAGGATGTTTGGTTAAGAGCTTTTTCTGGGGTGGCCGTAAGTGGGGACTATCGTCTAGGGGAGCCCTGGAGGGGGCACTAGAGGGAGGATGCCTGGGACATCACTGGATGGGGTGGCTGGGTTTTTGCTTTAGGAGCAGGGGAGCCTGCAAGGATGGGGGGGGGGGGTATTCCTTGCCGGCCCATGGCCGTGCATGGACATAGGCGCGTGGCGGTGTTGCGTGGATCTGGGCTAGGGAGAGGCGTTGCTGGGGAGTGCCCTGCCGTCCGTGTCAAGGGCCTTACCCACATAAAGAGGGTTGAGTTCCTCCCCTGCGCAGGGCTGGCAGGGGCGCTTGCAGGCGAGGTGCATAGATGGGACATAGGCCCTTAGGGGATGCATAGGGAACCACGGGAGCCGTGCCCGGTGGCCCTAGCTATTTCAGTGATGGGGGGCCAGCCAGGTGCTTGGGGTGCAGGGTGGCAGGTGGGTTCTTAATGACAGAGCTGGGCGAGGAGCATCTGGGTTGGTGGAGTTGGAATTTAGATCCGGGTGAGCTGGATCCTGAGAGTTTGTGGATGAATGAGTGTGGGCGTGTTGAATAATGGGCCAATGGGGCCTAGATTCAAACTTTGGGTGAGATATTTGTTGGGGGCTGAGGAAGGGACCTCTGGCTGAGGGTCACTGCTGTACTGGGATGCATGGAGAAGGGGTGTGTAAGGCAGAGACTTTCCTGTTGAAATTTAAGAAGCATTTCTTGGTTGGATCTCACCTTCTCCCACGGGATGGGGGAAGATGAGAAGCAGTGGCTCTGTGGCCGGCTGTAGTAGGACTGGTGGTAGCGGGGGTTTGGCAGGGAAGGAATGAAGAGGATTCTTCTCCTTTGAGTTTCTTTGGCTGGAACGTGACTGTCCCTGTCTCTTTCAGAGTCCGTAGCCGTGCTGGAGCTGGCTGGCTTCCTTGGGCCTGGGCCCTGAGAGAGGATCCCGTGACAGGAGTGGTGGAGTGAGATAAGGCTGGGATTGCAGGCCTGCTTCGCTCCAAAGATGTTCCCCCAAAACCGCCCCCCGGTGAGTGCCCCGGTTAGACGCCGTTCCCACGGCCCTGTGTGGAGCAGCATTGGGCTGTTCCTTGACCCGCATCCCTGCAGGCCGCTCTGTCTGGATTGCCCCACCTAGGAGAGGGAGGAAGCGGTTGTTGCAAGTATCTGTGCTTCTGCCTTTGCGTGAGAGTCCCTCGCTGGTATAGCTTAAAGTGTGAATTTAAACCGGTGCGAAAGGCGGTGTGGACGCTCTTATTCCGGTTTCTCTTAGGAAGAGGATCTAAGATAAACTGAATGACCAGCGTTTGCACAGGAGGGTTGCGCTGATTTAGCTAAATCAGCTTCAAACTGGCGCAAATTCTGCGTACGCGCGAGGGCTTAACCGGAGCTTGGTTTTATACCCCTCCGACGGTACATCCTGCGTTCGTCTTAGGGCGGGTGTTCTCCAGCTTGGCTGTTAGTCCCTGGCTGTCAAGCTGGGACCAAAGGTGGCAAAGGCTCGCCCTTCGAGGAGCTGATTTCCTTTGTGTCCATTCTCCTTCAGCTGTCCCCTTCCCGCGAGTGCCTTGCTGTCTGTCTCTCCCTTGTGACAGAGCCAGGTGTGGGGCTGGTGGCCCCAGGAATTGGGACTGGGGCTTCTGCGGTCGTTGTTCCCCCTCCCAAGAGCCTGGTTCTTGCAGGCTGCGTGAATAGCACGGCCACGTTGCGGTGACTGCCCTCTTCCTTCCATGCCCTCCGCCGTAGGCTCATCTCCAGGCACCCGCCGTGGCTTCGGCAGCTGCCAGCACGGTTTCCACGACCCCTCAGTCCCTGAAACTGACCTACCCGGAGACCTTGGACCGGATCAAGGAGGAATTCCAGTTCCTGCAAAACCAATACCACAGGTAATGCGCTGCCAAGCCCCACCGCGCCAGCGAGAAGCGGTGCCACTTTAACTGAGCTGGCAACAAAACGCTCCTGTATCTCCATGCTGGGCATTAGGTCTAGGTGGGTGGGAAGTGGCATGCCACGCTGGCACGGGCACTGAGCCATACATGCAGCAAGTGTGTAAGAAGCCACCTCGGTTCCTTGAAATGCTCTTCTTGGGCAGCGCTGCTCAGCTCCTGTGCTTTCGGCTCTATCCCAACGTGAGCTTGGGCTTTCCCCCTGCGTGTCTGGTAATCTGGGTCCAGATTCCTGCCTGTTCTCTTGCCAGTCTAAGCAATCCCTAAATGCACCCCCTTCCCCCGCCCCTGCTCTGTAGCTTGCTACATTTGGAAAGCAGATGAGAGAACATTCAGACTTTCTGCAACCTGTTTCCTTGGAGCACGGAAGCCCATGACACACACACCTTCCTGTGCGCCTGCCTGAATCCGCCCCCCCCCCCCCGCCCCCTTTTCCAGTTCCCTACCTCTTGGCAGATGGGACTGAATGGATTCTGCCCAGTGGCTCTTTTTTTCTGGGCTAGGGGTTGGCAGACCAAAGTTTTGCATGAGTCTTAAATGCAAGCTTTATGCTTCTGTGCCGCCGACTAATCCTTGTTCTCTTGGTGGGGGGTGGTGGATGGGGGTGGGGGTCTCTCTCTCACTCTTTATTTTTACAGCTTGAAGTTAGAATGTGAAAAACTGGCAACAGAAAAAACAGAAATCCAGCGACATTATGTCATGGTGAGTGGGGTGCGGGGTGGCGCTCCCCTTTCCCAGCGTTCGGAGCGAGCGAAAGGCCAACCGGGTTGGGTTCCCTTGGCTCCCAGTTTATATTTGGGCTGCTGCGCCTGCCCCCAGAGATCTGGCTGGGTGAGCTCACTCATGAGATGAGTGCGGCTGAGCTCTGCCTTGGTGGCTTTCAGCTGCATGTTAATGCTGCTGGAGAGGGTGGGAGGGAGCACTGGTCTGATGATTTACTGGGCCCCAAGCTGTGCGGGGAGGGGAGGGAATTGACAGGCAGGTACAGCCCCATCTCTGCTCTTATTCCTGGAGTTGGGAGGGGAAGGGGTTGGAATCTGCTCGTTAGTTTCCCTTTTCCATCTCTCTCCTCTCTGCTGGAAGAGAAATTGCCTAGAACGTGGGGCCTGTGTTTGAAGAAGACCGTCCTGGTTGCTGTATTGTTTCTCTGTTCCATGGGGTGGGGTGCGGGGGAGAGCTCGCCCCGCTTCTGGCAGAGAGATTTGGGGCAGTATCTTCTGATCCCAGCAGGTCCTGATAATGCAGGAACTCGGGGTCAGGCTGACCTCGCACGCCTGTGCTGGAGAGGACTTTGCAGTGGGTGGTTTGCCCGTTAGCCTTGCATCTCCCTTAGTGACGCCGTGTTCTTTCCCTTGCAGTACTATGAAATGTCCTACGGCCTGAACATCGAAATGCACAAACAGGTGAGTCTCTGGCATGCCTGGTCTTCCTGCCAGCTGTCTGTGGTAGCCCCTGGTGGGCTCACCTTTGCTTCCTGCTTCGTAGCCCATCCCCGTCCCAGATAAACCCAACCCTGTCGCTTTTCTCCTTATGCAAAACACAGCTTGGGGCGTGGGTTCCACCCTGCCTTTCCCATGTTACATGGGATGGGGGGGGGCAGCCCCCCACTATGGAAAAAGACAAGAGCCACTGTTGCGGAGTTAGAGTGGAGGAGTCCATTTCCAGCTCTGCTACTGACTTGCCTAGTGCCCTTGGGGTGGTCCCTCGGTGTCGCCTCCCCCCTGCGATACGGGGATAGTTCTGGCCGACAGAGGTGGTCTTTGTGCGCCCCTGCGGCAGGGGCTCCCTGTGAGCCTTTGCCCGGTGCTGGGGAAGCTCAGCGAGCATGCGGGGAAGATGGGCTTCAGGCCTGCGCGCTCAAACACTTGTGGGAGGCGGGCTTTGACATTCGCTGCTGTCCCGCTTGTCCAGTCCGGGGACCTGGTGCCGTGGGACCCCTGAGCTAAGCCAGGCAGCCCTTGGGCACTCAGCCAATGAATGGAAGACGGGTGAGAACTGGGCTCTGCGAGCCGGGGTGGAAGCTGCCAGATAATTTGTTACCAGCCTCTTGGTGAGCTCCGTTGAGCGACTACGCCGGGGCTGCCTGGGGACCTGGCAAGTGGCCTGAGGCCCTGTGATGCCCAGGAAGGGCCAAGTGTTGGATCTTCTCCCATTGCTGCCAGATCTGCCCTGCCACCCGCAGTGGCCACACGGCGGGAGCCGAGGTGGGTGTGGGGAGGGGACTCCAGGGCC